TGTTATAAAAATATTGTTATTTTGAGTCTAATCTATTTTTAAGTTTAAAATAAGAATTAAGTTATTTCTTTGATTTTATACGGTTTTCTTTGTTAAGGCTAAATAAATCTAATTGTTGTTCCGTTTTGGTAAAGGTTTTGTCAAACAAAAAAATACGTCCAAGGTTGTCAGTTAAAATCTCAATCATGGGAATCTTTTGCAAACTGATTTAATGCAAGTTAATCCAAAGCAAATCCAATTCAGTATTTGGAAACCCACATACAGACATTCATTTTTTTTGGCACCTTCTGTGGCAATCGCTTAACCGTTTAATTTATGTATTCGTGAGATACATTCATCTTCAACCGCCGATCCAATTTCGCTTGACACATTTACTCGGGGGGCGTGGGCGTCTCCGGCTGGGGTAATTCACCTTGATGGCGATTTTCCACGGGGCCGCGATGACTGCGCAGGCGCAACTAAACTGTAATCGAGACTCTCGCTTTCTACGCGGCTTGATACCGCGCCTCTTGATGACTGTGAAATTAGACGGCAAACTGCAGATTGGAGATTGAAGATTGAAGACTGGGATACTGAAGACTGGAGACGGCAGACTGCGGGTGCTGTCGTATCGCTGTTATCATAACCGACTAACCGACCGACTGATTGACTGACTCCGCTGAAAAACTCAAAGCTCTTTCACTTTGCATATCGCCGGCGCTGAAATTACAATATAAATTTATATACACGGCATATGTATAGAAGAAACAATCTTTAATCAGCATTTACGCTTTCATCTTTCACATTTCTCAAAGAGTGAAAAACAACACCAGCAAAAACACTGCCATAAACAACAATTGTTGTTGGTCGCCAGCAGCAACCTGTTGACGTTGAGTTTGGCTTGAGATACAGATACTTCGGATTGCCGGCTATCTTCAGTGGCTTTTTGGCCTGACTTTGAATGCGAACCATTTTAATTTGGTGGCAAATTTGCATAGTCTGCATATCTTATGAATTTGTTCGACTATTTGTCGTTTTTAATTTGCCTTCGGAGGCCATAAACATTTACTATTTTCGTCTTTCTCTCGCGTGCACAAAAGATGAAAGCAAGAGTGACATTTAAAGCGGTTCAGCCTTAAAGTTTTGGGAATCTTTTGTCTCCCGCCCTTTTGTTTGGAATTATTTTCCCGGCCTTATGCAATATTCGAACACACACGGCATATAATTGAAGAATGGGGATCATGGATATTGTGGTTTTGGGGGTTGATTTCGGAATGCCATTCACTTGATTGGGAATATCTTGGCAGGAATTGTTACTACACTGTGGTCACAATCGGATTGTGTTTCTTAAGGTTTGTGGGGAATATGAGATTGTAATATGGATTTCCTTATGATGCAAAATAGCCGCCGTCAATGAACTCCCCAAAAAATGGCCTGGGAAGTTTTTGGGAAATATGGTTTTTTAGTTAATGATGCATGAAGTAATCATTGAAATAACTTTATGGATTGTGTGGTGGGAAAGACGGTTAGATCTTTTGGAGGTTCAGTCATTACTTACAACATAAAGTTAAAAGAAAACTTTTTCCTCTGGGTAATTTCAAGGTTACCTAGACTAATATTTTATCTTACATAAAATTAACCTCCAGTTTGATTCTTTTTAAAATTACAAAACTTTGTTCCGCTCGATTATGAAGTAACCACTCGAAAAGCCAAACGCCCATAATTACGTTAATTGCCAACTATCTATCATTTTTTGATTCATTATTCATCCGCGCTTATTAATTAATTAATAATTTCGATGTAGAGACGCGGCATGCACTTAAGTGTAACCAAAACAAAACCGAAATAAATCAGAGGAGGAGAGGAAACTCATCAACAGCTCATTGCCCGCATTTGATTGATAAATACCTAAATACACCTAAAGATGTTGTAAATATCGGTCGCCACGTGAAACGCATGCCAAAATTATTGGTTAGAAACAAAGTTGAAAAGGCAGATTGAAAAAATATGGTCTTTAAAATGCCGAACATTTTTACATTTTAACGCCTCAACAGATTTCGCTTTGTCTAATTAATTTTGCCCACAAATCTGCATAGATATCGCTGTTTTTTAAGTTTTTGCCTAGATTATTTATCAATTTCTATAAAATATATGCAAACAAAAGGCCAGCGAGTCAGTGTGCGGTTGCCGTTGACTTGCACATGACTTTCCTGACATTAGAAAGTAAATTGCCATGAGGCCACTTGGTCAACCATCAGAGCCATGCACTCCAGCACCACCATCACCACCACTACCACCGATATAGCAAAAACCCACAGCAACATTAATAAAAGTTTATTATATAGCTTTTTTTCTATTGAACCTGATGAAATGCAAGTGGAGGAGGACTGGGATGATGAGATTGCCGAGGTTGTGGCAGGCAAACAATTGAAAGTCAGGCTAGCAAAGTGCTTTGGCTTTATTATTATTAATTGGATTCGACGGGAGGAAAGTCCATTGTCTGACCCTGAGACTGGTTTCCCTGTACTTGAATGTTATTTTTTTCGCAATTTTCCAATCGGAAATGCAATTTTCCTTATAGAAATTCGAAATTCGAATGTCCACACTTTGGAGCCCGGTTCCCTGACAATCTAATCTTATCGAAATTGGTTCGTTAATTTCTTTTTTTCAGCGAGCAAAGTGCACAACACCATGTGTTTAGGAAAGTAGAATCCCATTCTCTTTGGGAACGAATGTCGGATCGCCAATTAACCGACTCAAAATTGACGCATTGGATCGGCCGGTGATTCATTTTGAGATAAGGCAATGTGATTTTTTATTTATTTCGTTTGTTGATTTTGCGCAAAACCTGAAAGGCCCCTCCAAATTGAACGAATTTGGACTCTTATTAAGCCTAATCTAGATGAGGAAATACATTTTCCGCAATTTATTTTAACAGAACAGAGCATTTACTTCGATTTGTGGAAGTTATTACCCTTTACTTATGGCCCATTTATTACTGTCTACTGCAAAGATTATTTGGTAAGGGTTATTATTATTATTCTGGCTAAAAATAAATAGATAAAATAATAAAAACTGCAGGAAAACAATCTTGTTAAGTTTTATCTTTATAACAACCCATCTAAATTACATTAGTTAGGATTCACTTGTTGAGATCGCTTATCTGGGCATATGGCAAATAAATTTCAGCAGCTATAAACCCTAATTACTCACAGATGTTGGCTGATCTGCTGATCCTCAGTGAACTTTCAAATTGTAACGCTCGCCAACTTATTCAATAACGCTCAATCAAATGCACATGTTCCCCATGAAAAAAGCGTTACGGCTGCCACATAAATCAAGCATTAATAAAACTTAAATTTGCGCAAATTTCGACAGCACTGGCAGATGGCAGAGGCATTCTTCTTTTCATTTGAAATTCTTTGCTAAATGTCAATTAATTATTAACTGGAACCGCCTGCCTGCCGCGGAGCATGAAATTTATTATTTAATTATTAAGTCGCGGCATGTCTCGTCCGCTTTGGAATTTTGGGCTGAATTTGCCTAAAAACCCAACTCCTTTCTGTCTTCCCCCGAGAAGATACCTCTGCCTCATTTCCTGCGAAAGTGATGGACAGCCGGGCCAGAGTCAAAAACACATCATATGATATCATGCTGGGCACTCGAGCTCATCTCTTATTTTCGTGTGCAGCCTTTTTTGTACTGTTTTTTTAGGTTTATTTCCGAAAACCGTGTTCTGGTTGTCTGACCCGCTAACTCCACTAACCTGTGGTTAGGTCAAGAGTTTAATGCGGAACCAACACAATGGAGGGGCTAAAAGAGTTAAGATCAAATGTCCGCAATTCGTGGGACGTATGAATCACTCCGGGATTGTATAACTTTTTTTCTTAGCGGTAGAAATAATTCAGGTAGGAAATATTAGTTATTAATGGAAGGAGCGGAAAAGTTGTACTTCACTGAGAATAAAAAACACATGCCGAGAATTATATTTTTGAAAGAGCAACAACAATTATTTTAAATTTAATTATTTAATATTTAATTCGTTATATAAAAATGTTTAAAGGAAAATAATCTCAAAATACATAAAATAACAAACCACTCTATTAAACATATTCTGCAAAATCCAACACAATTAGCATACTATGCAGTGTTATCTCTTCGCAAAATCAAGTTGATTGCAATAATATTTGCCTCCCCTGCTGGAGTATTTATGGTGGGTATTTAAAGTTTGGGTGTACCAACCGGTTGGTCAGTCAGTCACGCTTAATAAACTGCAAAGTGGAATTGCTGGGCCATGATATGGGGGGACTGACCACCCCCTTTTCCATGGCTTTTTTGTCGCAGCTTGGAATCAAAAGCCGGCCGGTCAGCAAATCAAACCGAAAACCCGAAGCGGGCACCTTGGACCGTCGGCTCGGCTAGCGGCGTTGCTAGCTGACTCAACTATTTTTTATTTAGTTGGAAATTGCATTTAATTGTTTAACAAAATGCCAGGCGCGTTATGTGGCTTATAGAGATATGAGTTATAATACAATTGCTCGCGTTGTCCATTGACAATTTTCCGGGCCGCCCCTCCCAGCCGCCATTCGCCAGTCACCAGTCACCACCTGTCCCAGTCCCGCTCCCAATACCGCCCCCTGCGCCGACGACGGAGCCCGATATCTGTCTGTCTGCACAACAAGTTTATGATTGCTGAACCCGTTTCCAAGTTTTGTTATTTGTTATTTCTGTTACAATTTCTGCCCGCTTTTTCCCCTGTTTTTTTTTCTTTATGCTCTGGGTTTGGCCATCAAGTGCGGAAGTTGCTGCCGAGCCAAGAAAATAAGTTGAGACTCGAAATGTTTGCATATTTTTTTAAAATGCAATTGGAAAGGTGAACAATTTCTGCTGTTGTTTGGCTTTCTGCTTAATTGCAATTGACTCGTTTATGATTTCCCGCTAACTGTAACCGAATTTATTGATTGCACTCGCAGGCTTTTATTAATTTACAATATTTAATCTCCGTTTTGTTTACTCAACAGCCTTCGACAACAACCATCACCATCATCATCACCACCATCTTACGCCGCTCGTCGTTTCGCATAGAAAGGTGAGTTCAACATAGATTGGTTTTGACTACAAGTATTTCGAATCTTGTTCCCGGGGCTTTAATGGCTCGTAAAGCCTTTGGATATCGTTCACGTGTCCGCCGGTTGGTGACCATTAAGTGCCCTCAGATTACAGATTAGAATTATGGCCCGTAAAGTTCACTCAAATGAGTTCATTTCGTGGTCATGTTGCTGTCTTGTTACGGTTCCGGTTCGAGTTTAAATTAAGCTCTAATGATTTATTATAAAAGAAATGGGTTCTTAACAGTCAGAGGTGATTTCGAATCAAAGAAGCGGAAACAAGAACTGATTAATATTGAATCGTTAAACGCTTTGAGTGTCGCTTAAGTGGATCGGTCTTTTAACTGCACTGTACTCAATTAAAGCCTAGCTCTTAATCATCGGGTTATAACAGTATTTTGGTAGTTTTCTCACGGAATAAAAGAAAGCAATTAAATTTAGCAAAATTAAAATGGAATAGAAAGTATAAATCCGTTCAATCAATAAGACTAAGAAAGATTATAACGCCAAAATAAAATATAAAAAAACCGAGACTGTTATTCTTAGAGGAATCTTGGTATTATACCAATTGATTGGATATCTTGTCAGTTTCTCTGCCCTCCCAACTCCTGCACACCTCTTTTCAATCAGCCCCCAAGGAAATCCCCCACATGAACACCTATCTCGAGAGGCCCGAAGCTGACATCAAATTGAACAGGCCATAAAACAAAATGAGCTACAACAAGTAAGACAAGCTCCCTAGCATAATGTGTGAAAGTGTTGGCGGTCCAACAGCAACATCAACGATTTTATGTCAATTTTAGCAGATGTTCAACACAGCCGCACATGCGAAAGTGTTTTCCTAAAACCAAAAAAAAAAACCAGAGCCCACGAAGAATGCACTTTAAGGTTTCAGTTCCCATAGGCACAAAAAACAAAACGAAAAAACCGAAAAGCTACAGAAAACTTAAAACGAGGCAAAGCAGCCGAGGAAATGCGCAGGCGCATCGGTGGGGAATTCACATGATGATCGTTAGTAACCCTGTTCGGGGGCAGGCTTGAATCTCCACCGAGGTAATTAAAACCATGAGCAACTGCAGCCACAACACGGCCAACTGCATTTGGGCCCAAGAAGATCGTAACGTGGAAGCGCCAAGTTTCTCCACGCCTGAAAATTTTTAATGTATCTTTTAGTTTGCCTCTCCAGCTACTATTTTCCTATACCTATTTTCCCCTGCCATAAGATGCCGTTTTCAATTAAGTGTTGCTGCCGTAATGGGTGTGTGTGAGAAATATGCATGTTTCACCGCTCAATGGAGGTCGCTCCTTAGATACTCGCCATATACTCGCTATACGAATTCATTCTCCCCAACTCGCACAAGGCAATTCCATTGTCTCCGGGGTTCATGAGAAATTTCCGAATGCATTCTTACCGCCGCCTCGCTGGGGGTTACCTTAAGATTCCTATAATTTACGGCCATAGAAGACCTTATTTAAGTCGGATATCATACATTCTTTCATAAATATGACTGGGTAGAGGGAAATTCTTTCACGATGTGGTCGTTTATTAAAATATTGAGTTACAGTTGGTAAACAAAAGAAAACTTGTTCTTAAAACGCTTACTATGGAAATACAAAAACTATTCAAAGATAAATTCAATTATAACCATTAGAAAAAATTAGATTAAAATATAAATTATTTAATATTAAAATATTTCCCTGCATCACATAACATGCCTTTGTTTAGGGCACACTATTTAGGAAGTATCTGCTAAGATTCGAACAGAAAAGCGCAATAAACATAGGAAATTTTTACCAATTAGCTCGGCCACCCCATCGTGAGGCCCCCAAATTGCGATCCACTAAATCAAGAGGCCCGTCAGCGGCCGAAACGAGCTGAAATTGGACATTATTATACAACAATTGCAAAAATTACCCAAGGGGTGGATTTTGTGGATGGTCTGGCTGGTAAGGTCAGTCCTCCCCCTCGAAAAAAAAAAGAAAATGGGCGTTAAAAGTGCGATTGCAATGCGCAAAAATGTTCATTTGTTTGTTTAAAGCCCCGGCAACAATTGAAATTGAGTGGAAAAAACAATTGCCGGAGACCAAAGACTTGAGAGTTAAGAGTGACAGCGCGTGCAGTGACATTTTCCGCTCGAAACTGCACTTTAAGCATGTTTGACCTTTGTTTTGGGACCCGCGACTTGGGCCGCAGTCATTTAGTCATTCAGTCATTCATTCATTCCCATAGCCTCGTTGGGGTTATGCAATTGCCCAAAGGACCGACCGACCGACCGACCAGCGATGCGGAACTTAAGGCGCCTATCATATGACAAAGCAGCAGACATCATCATCATCGTTGGATATTATTATGCAAAGTACAAAAATTGATGATCACATATTCGCAGAGCGCGCGAAAGATAGAAAAGAGATATGTTTATGGATACAAATTGCAGCTGGCAGCCCACTAACCGCAGAAGACTTCATCGCTTTTCCGGGCTCGAACTCGTGATCTGCAGCTAACTGCCTGACTAGTTGGCTAAACTGACTGACTAACTGACTAACTAACTGAATGACAGGCTGTCTGCCTTTCGGGGATGCGGACTAGGAAGTCGGTGGCGAATTTCTGCGGTCTACACAGCCCACTAAGGTCGCCCAGAAATCTGTAATCTATATCCCAGATAGTGAGTCAATCAGTGATTCGCTTCGCCACACTCCACTGCTTACTGACTAAATGAAAATAAAACCTTCAAAAGTACCTCCTAGGTATATTTCCCATCCCATCTATAGGTTGATTTTTAAATAAGGGCTTGGCCAGCTCCATTTGTTGCGCTTGCATTGCCATAAATGGCATTTCGTAGAGTTTGACGGGAACGGAAACCTAAAATTCACAATGCATAGGGGGCATTTCTGTAATTGGTTTATGGATTTTCGATATTATTTGGGTGCGCCACCTAGCCGAGGGAAACGAAGTTGGCATCGGAATCGGTGGCTTTGGCTTTGGCGGCAAATAGGATTACTTCTCTTGACAGGCGGGCTTTAATTTATGTTTGGCTCTCTAATTTCCTTTAATTGGGTTATAGGGGCGAGTTGCCAAATACTCTATATAGGGCAGGGCATAATTAAGCTGGATTGGGAGAAGTTAATGATGCCGGAAGACGATTTGGGTTCGAAAATTATCAAGGTGCTCAGTAGTAAAGGTCATATTGTGTAATTCACAGTCTCAGAAAATTAAATAAATATTTTCTTATAAATCGATAAATAATATAAACTAGAAGATTTCTTACAAAGGTTACCTGCAGTTAGTTATTAAAATTAATTGCCTTAATTATACAACATTCTTAGCAATTGCGTTTCTATAGAAGCTTTAGTCGACGTGATACAATTAAAAGTAGTTCTACTCAAACAACGAAATACTGTAATTTGTTATACCACCCAAGGCTGTTTATCTGTTGACTAATTAAACATCACATAATTTAATTCCCTTTAATGGCACAAGGTTGTGTAGTATTTTTAATAAGTATTTTTATAGCTCAGATTTCTATCTCTGTATCTTTTTGAAATTCCATAATTTATTCTGCCTCTTAAAGTCTAAATTCATTACAGCAAGCAAACAATTATTTCGTTATGAAACCGCTTTTGGTTGTCAGGGCTAAGAGTCTCGTGCACAGAGTTATCATATCTCCAAAATAGATAGCTACACGATGTGCAGAAGCCGTGGCCTAAATTCACGCAGATATCGGGTGACACACCGCAGGTGTAATGTAATTGGCAGCGGACTTTAAATTCATTTTCAATTGGCCAGAAAATGAGGCAAAGTCTGGTCAATGGGATAAATATTTCACCAGTGAAGTCATGATGGGCAATTACCAATGCAAACTGCGGTGTGCGATCAGAGTTTTGTGAGTACTTCGAGCAAATATTAACTCCCAAAAGCGTGGACAATTATTTACAGTAAATATTTTTGCATGAAATAAGGCTCTCGGGTTTCCTTCTTTTTTCGTTTCTTTTCTTATATATAGCTGAAAAAATAAACGAAATAAGTCATCGCTTTTTCAGAGCGTGAACAGCTGGCCTACCTGTTCCATTTAACTGGCCCGCCCGTACTTTTATGGGTTCAGTTCGTCCCGGTATATTCGTACCTTATGCTCCAGTAGCAGCAACAACAGCAACAGCAACAGCAACAGCTACTAGCAACACCAGCAACAAGCAACAGTTGTTGCCACTTCCACTTGCAACTTTGGTTGCCGCTGCTGCCGTTGGCCAGCTCCAAAAACAATGAGTCGCCTCCTCGGGATGGCGACTTGGTTGAGTGCCTCGCCGTTTGTTTTATGCTTCGTCTGGTTCTCTGGTTTTGGCTCTGGTTCTCTGACTCCGGCTGTAACTGCGACTCTCGATCTGACTGGCTGCTATAGCTACGCATTTATAATAGGCGAAACATGGCACAGTGGGACGAGATCGGTTAAAAACTAATTTTATGTGAAATTATTTCATTAGGTAAACATTTTTTCATAATATTCTAGTTAGGTTTAAGCCTAATCTTATTTTGGTTTTGCAAAACAAATTTATAACCAATAAAAGATCGCTGAAAATAGGATTTAAAAAACATGTTTTCATCAAATTTAATTAACTTTTTAATTAATATTTGTTTTTATTTTATTTTTTTTTTATTATTCAATCTATAAATTAAATCACCCCCTTCCCTGCCACTTTGCCCCACTGTGCCACTCGACTCCCCTTGGCTGTTCGCCTTGGTGACGGCGCAGACGCATCGCTCCATGGCCCATTGTTCTAGGGAATCAATCAATGGATGGCAGGCACAGCACCAGAACTGCCAAGAAAATGGCATGGGGGCATGGGGATCGTATGGGATGGGGATGATGACCATGTTGATGACGATGACAACGCGCGCACGACGTCAACATAAAAGTGTCGATCAACTAAACGTTCTCTGGCCTGCGGACGAAGATGATGGCTGAAAAGGGAGTGGAATTGGGAATGG